ACGACGCCTGGCTCAGGGCGGTCGCGCGGCGGCACGGCTTCTGGGAGGCGGTGGTGGCGTACGTCACGCCGCTGCTCGAGCGGAACGAGCACCAGGCCGCCACGCTCATCGAGCTCGACGCCCACTACGAGACGAACCAGGCCAACATCCGCCAGTGGCTCGCCGAGCAGGGCGCGTCCGAGGCGCTGCAGACGCAGTCGCTCAGCCTGCTCGAGCTGCTGCGCGCGGCGCCGCAGGAGGAGAGCGAGCACAGCGACAGCACCGAGGGGACGGTCGTGGGGGAGGCGAGCAACGGCGACGGCACCGAGGAGGGGGAGGAGGAGGAGGGCGAGGAGGGGGGCGAGGAGGAGGGCGAGGAGGAGGACGACGAGGAGGCCGCTGCCCGCCGGCTCGAGGAGCTGCGGCGGCAGAGTGCGGAGGAGGCGCGGCTCGCGCGCGAGCGGGCGCGCCTCGAGCGCGAGCGAGCCGAGCGGCAGGCGGCGCGGCGCGAGGCGCGCGAGACGGCTCGGATCCGGCGCGAGCAGGAGCAGCTCAACCGCTTCCGCGCGGCGCTAGAGGTGCTCGCGCACGTCGAGGACGGCGCCGAGCTGCTGCTCGTCCGCTTCGCGCCTGCGCCCGGGCGGCAGCAGCTGTACGTGGTGCGCGGCTGGCGGCAGCGCCGCTGGGTGCAGCTCGCCCGCGCGCGCGGGACCACCGAGGTGGCGCTCGAGTACGACCAGACCCTGCTTCGAGTCAAGGTTTGCTGCGGGCGCGAGCAGTCGCAGCTGCGGCAGCTCAACCACACCAGGCTCCGGCAGCACTTCCGCGCCGCCGCCGCGCGAGGCAGGGCGCTGCCACTTCCGCCCACGCCGCAGCCTCCGCAACCGCAGCCGCCTCACCAGCCGCCGCAGCAGCCGCAGCCGCCACAGCCGCAGCCACAGCCGCAGCCGCCGCCACAGCCACAGCCACAGCCACAGCCACAGCCGCCACAGCCGCAGCCGCCACAGCAGCCGCAGCCGCAGCAGCCGCAGCCGCAGCCGCAGCCGCAGCCGCAGCCGCAGCCGCAGCCGCAGCCGCAGCCGCAGCCGCCGCCGCCGCCGCCGCAGCAGCCGCAGCCTCCGCTTCCGGCGCCACGGCCTCAGCCGCCGCAGCCACCCCAGCCGACTCCGCCGTTACCGCCTCAGCTGCCGCAGCCTCGGCCAGTCACGCCCCCAGTGCGGCCGGTCGAGCCTCCCGCAGCGCCGCGGCGGCAGCAGCAGCATGCTGTAGCCCTGTCCGCGCCCCTCTCGCTCGAGCGACTCGTCAACAACATCGCCGGCGGCGTGGTGGCCTCGGGAGTCCTCGGACAGCTCCGCCGCATCTTCGCTGCCGCCGAGGCGACGGGCAGCGCTGACGCCTTTGGCGAGCTCGGCGAGGTCCTGGACGGCATGCGCACGGACGGCGTGGCGGAGGCGGTTCGCGCGGCGCTGGAGCGGCTGCGCGACCGCGTGTCGGAGATCGTCGGCGGGGACGCGCCCAGCTGCAGCGTCTGCCTCGAGCACGTGGGTATCGACGCAGTCCGCCTGATGGGCTGCTGCTTCGGCGTCGTGTGCGCCGGCTGCCTTCCTCAGATCCCTCTCAACGACGGCCAGCGCCTCTGCCCGCTCTGCCGCCAGCCGCTGACCACGTCGGCGGTCGTGTCGGACAGCAGCTCGTCGTCCGAGTCGCCCGGCGGATCCGTCAACGGACCGGGCGATAGCGACGGCGACGCCAGCTCGGACGGCGGCAGCTCGGACAACAGCAGTTCGAGTGGCGGCGACTCGGGCGCTTCAGGCGGCGGCGATGCTGGCAGCGGAGGCAATGCTGGCGGCGGCGACGACGGCGGCGGTGACGACGGCGGCGGTGACAGCGGCGGCGGTGACGGCGGCAGCGACGGCGGCGACGGCGGCGATGGCGGTGACGGCGGCGCAGCTGCAGACGAGGCAGCCCAGCACCTCGTCCCGCTCCTCGGCGCGCTGCGTGCGCTGCGCTCCCGCCCTCTCGACGAGCGCACCTACTCACTCGTCTATGTGCCGCTCATCCACGCCATCCTCGGCACTGGCGAGTACGCAGCGCAGCAGGCGGCGTGGGCGTCTCACGACCCGCGCTGGGCGGTGCTCGTGGCCGACTACCGCGCCTTCCTCATGGCTGTGCCAGCGCTCGCCCGGCTCCTGCAGCCGGGCGCGGTGCGCCAGTTCAACGCGCGGCACGCGCCGGGCTGGCCGTACATCCACGCGGCGCCGCCGGCAGAGGCGCCCGCCAACGCGCTGCTGCAGCCGTGGCCGCTGCTGAGCGCGGGACTCGGCGTGACGCAGGAGGGGCTGCTCTCGCAGTCTCCGGCGCTGCTCGCGCGGCTGGACGAGATGGTCGTCGGCTGGGAGAACGCACTCCACCTGCCGGACGGAGGCGGCGACGGCGGCGGAGGTGAGGGCGGCGGCGGCGGCGGCGACGACGGCGATGGCGACGGCGGCAACGGCGGCGGCGACGGCGACAGCGGCGGCGGCGGCGACGACGAGGAGACGGGCGGCGGCGGCGACACTGACGGCGCATCTGGAGGCGGCGCGGCGCCGGCCCCCGCAACGCCGCCTCCCCCACCACCGCCGCTGAGCCCGCCGCTGCCGGCCGGCGCGCTGCTCAATGCGCCCTACGAGGTCGTGTACTCCACGGCCACCCAAGACGCGCGCAGCGCGATGACGCTGCAGCTCGACCACGGGCACAGCTCGGCGCGCAGCCGCTCCGCCCGGCGCGTGATGGGCGCCGCCGCCGGGCGGGAGAACGGGCGCCTCTACCCAATGGTCGAGGCGGCGCTGCGCGAGCTCGGCTGCTGGGGCCGGCACAACCGGCGCTCCGGCTCGGCGGTCGTCGCCCGCATCCTGCAGGAGTTCCCCGCCGTCGAGGCCGAGTACCTCCGCCGGCGCCAGGACCCGGCGCAGCGCATGACGTCTCGCCTCAACGGCCTCCACCACTACGGCGACATGACGCGCTCGCCGTACCGCCTCGTCAACTTCGGCTGGGAGGACGGGCACGGCGACATGGCCTTCGAGGACGGGAGCGGCAGGGACCGCCCCTTTGCCGAGGCGGTGGTCTTTTGGCTCACCGAGTGAGTCTGAGGTGCCCCAGGCGCACCGTTGAGCAGCTCGCTCAGCGGGGCGTGTACGGCACGGCGGCGGGGCCGGCCAACGAGTCGGCGGCCTCGTCCGCCATGACGGAGCGGGAGGTGCGGCGCGCGCTCGCCCTGCTCTACCCGCACCGCATCGGCCAGCCGGGCTTCACGCCGCTGACGGCGGGCTGCGGCTTCGCCCTCAAGGGCCTGTACGACAAGGCGCACGTCTGCCGGCGGCGCCGCCGGACGGGCGCGCGGGGCCGGCAGCCGATGGAGTACTGGCTGCCGGCGCCGCGCGGCGCGGGCGCGTTCGCCTGAGGCGGCGAGGGGGCTGAGTGAGAGGGGCGGCCGCTCTGAGCCACGCAGTTGGGCAGAGATGTGCACGCGACGAACGCCCGCGCGTGCGGCCCTCATGTGCACAGAGAGGCGACAAGTGTGTCTCTGGCGCTTACTGATGGAAGTGTGCAACATCGTTGTACTGCTGAATGCGCAAAAAATAGCACTATCGGTACGTTGAGCCCAGCGGAGCAGACGGCATCGGCCGCCGAGGGAACGTTGGGAAGAGGCACGAGGAGGGCGGCGACCTCAACCGACTATGGAGGACCCGTCGCCAGACGACGCAGGGCGGACGACGGGGAGGCGGAGCAGACGCGCAGGGCGAGACGAGGGAGGGAGCAGGATGTTGCGGAGATCAGCAGGAGGATGTACGACGAGATTAGGAGCAGCAGGGACCCGAGGGACCATGTGGAAGACGGCTAGTGCTAGTCCCCCATCGGGAGGACGACCCCGGCTAGTCGCCGACCACACCCACAAAGAACCCTGCACAAAGACCGCAGGGCGGGGACCTGTTCCTTTTTACCCATCTCCTAGTAGAGGTGTCCGTTTTATTTATTTATTTAGAGCCCAGTAGGTAAAGGGTGTGGAGCTGAACTCAAACCCAAGTAAAGGGAGCGGACCGTGAGCTAACGGGATCCCACTCTGCGCCACCACCCCCTACATCCTAGCTCATAGCCCCTAGCTCATAGCCCCTACCAGCGCGGTAGGCTGCACCCTTGGCGGCTCCTTTGTGTTTTGGAAAGAGACTCTTCTTAGCGGCTCCTTGAAGGGGTGTGTGTTTTTGAACGATTCTCTCCTCAGCGGCTCCTTGAAGGGGTGTGTGTTTTTGAACGATTCTCTCCTCAGCGGCTCCTTGAAGGGGTGTGTGTTTTTGAACGATTCTCTCCTCAGCGGCTCCTTGAAGGGGTGTGTGTTTTCAGAAAGAGAAAGGGGAAACAATCAACCTTCCTTTGTTTAGCAAAACAAGGAGCCGAGCCCCAGTCGCCCTTTGACCCGCTCTCCTTCATAATGACGAACATACACACAAATCCCAACACACACACCCCTCAAAGGCTGGCCCTCCGGGCCAGCCCCCCCGTAGGGGGCTGCGGCCTCGATTCTGGCCTCCAAATCCGCGACGGAGGACCGAGCGGCGAGTTCCAGCATGCATGGAGGCCTCCGGATCACAGGCTGCCCGAAACACCGAGAGGGGTCGCGCGGCGCGCAAAGAGCTCGGGCGAGGATGCTGGGATGCGCCACGGACGCCCGCGCGAACGGGAAAAAGGAACGACAGCGGCGTCTTTGCTCGGCGACGCCTGAGCTCGTTCCTGTCGGCGCGACGGCTGCTGCAGGTACGTCGCGACCCTACTGTCTGTGGCTCGGCGATGCGGGCTCCACGGCCGTGCCGCGTCCGTAGGTTGTTCTGCGTCATCGCCCACTCCTCGGGATACGCCTCCCTCGTGTACACCTCCAGCGCCGCCTCGTTGTGCTCGATCGCCGCCTCGACGTTGGCCGCCTTATCGCCGCGAATGCGGTCGCTGTACGCGGTGGCGAGGTTCATCTGCGTCATCGCCCACTTCTCGGGGTACGCCGCCCTCGTGTACACCTCCAGCGCCGCCTCGTAGCGCTCGATCGCCGCCTCGACGTTGGCCGCCTTCTCGCCGCGGATGCGGTTGCGGTACGCGGTGGCGAGGTTCATCTGCGTCATCGCCCATTCCTCGGGATACGCCGCCCTCGTGCACACCTCCAGCGCCGCCTCGTAGCGCTCGATCGCCGCCTCGACGTTGGCCGCCTTCTCGCCGCGGATGCGGTCGCTGTACGCGGTGGCGAGGTTCATCTGCGTCGTCGCCCACTTCTCGGGATACGCCTCCCTCGTGTACACCTCCAGCGCCGCCTCGCAGTGCTGGATCGCCGCCTCGACGTTGGCCGCCTTCTCGCCGCGGATGCGGTTGCGGTACGCGGCGGCGAGGTTGTTCTGCGTCATCGCCCACTCCTCGGGATACGCCTCCCTCGTGTACACCTCCAGCGCCGCCTCGGAGTGCTCGATCGCCGCCTCGAGGTTGGCCGCCTTCTCGCCGCGGATGCGGTCGTAGTACGCGGTGCCGAGGTTCATCTGCGTCATCGCCCAGTCGGCGGGGTACGCCTCCCTCGTGTACACCTCAAGCACCACCTCGTACCCAGCGACAGCCAGCTCGAGGCATAGCGCACGCTCGATGTGTCTGCTCTCCTGAAGCTGCTTGCAAGCATTTCCCCACGCCGCCGCGGATCTCGCCTTCACCTCGCGCCGCAGCAGTCCCCGCCACGCCTGCAGCACCACCGCCTCGTCGCCAAGCCGAGCCACCTCGCCCACGATCGAGAGAGCCGCCTCCGCCGAGCATCCTCGCAACTCGCGCAGCCGCTCCGTCAGCCGTGAGCCCACGCGATTGCGAGCCTCTCTCGCGCTCTTCTCTGCGCTGCGGAGCTCACCGCGCGGCACATCGTCCATCCGCAGCAGCTCCAGCGCTCGCTCGAAAGCGCTCGCGGCCTCGGCGAGCTCGTCTTGCTCGGCGTGCTTCGAGGCTTTGCGCGACCAATGCGCAGCGTCGTTGTCGGCGGCGGCGGCCATCGCAGTCTTTGCGGCCTCGCCCTCGCCGCGGGCGAGCAGGTGCCGCGCTCGCAGCTTCTGCAGCTCCGCGATGCGCGCCGGCGACGTGCAGCCGCGCAGCTCGGCGTCGCAAGCGGACATGTCCATCATGTCCAACGCGCTTTTGGTATCTCAGGCTCCCGTCGTGGTGTCGTCTTCTTTCCAAAAATCTTTTTCTCCTTCGGCAGCCTGGCGGCCGCCCTGCCCTCCGTGCTCTCCCCGGGTGCTCTCCACCCCTCCGTGCTCACCTCTGCCAGTCCGGCCCTCCGTGCTCTCCCCGATGCCCTCCGTGCACTCCGCCATGTTCGAGACGCGTCGCCGCCCACCTCGTTGCTCGATCTGCGCAATCCGATGTTTCGCTGCATCATCTGCCACGAGGAGAAGGAGCGCACGATCGTGTGCTCCGAGGGCCACGCGACCTGCGAGGAGTGCCTCGCGCCGTTCGCGTCGCGCGCGCCCCAGTCGACTGCAGCAACGAAGGGTCACACAAGTATCCCGTCAATGGGACTTTTTCCATTGGGAGAAGTAGCCCGCACAAGTAGCCCGCGGGCGGGATGTTTTCAAGAAATATAAAAAATAAGCCTCATAGGCAGGAGATACAATCAACAATTTTGGTAATAACGGCCTGCATGGCAAAGTCTATGCGGTTTATTAGCCGTATAAAATGACGCCACATTTCCAGGGAACCGATATGCCATCCCCAACCGCCCGAGCGCCCGAGGTGGGCGCTCGGAGGCCGGAGGCATGAGAAGGCTGACATGCGCGGGGCGCACGAGCGGCGGAGCGAGAGCGGGCTCGCGTATGGAGTGTGTGTGTGTGTGTGTGTGTGTGTGTGTGTGTGTGTGTGTGTGTGTGTGTGGCACGCGCGCGGATCTCCATGCGTCCGTGCGCGTGTGTGACGAGGGAGCTAGCTCGTCGGCTCGCCGGGCTCCGCCGTGTCAGCAGCGCCGCGGCGGCGCTCCCACGACGGTGGAAGCGCCTAGCCGCCTCGGGGAAGAGCTCGCGCGTGACTGCGGCGGTCACTCGCCTGAAGCATGCTGTCCGTGGACGGCGCAAGCGCGGTCGCACGGGGCTTTGCTGCACGCGTGCCACTGCGGCGGCGGCCACGTGTGTGTAACCCTGCGCATTCCGCCGCTGTCGTCGAGCTCACACAGAAGCCACTTCTTGTCCCATTCCGGAGGTGGGCATTCGCGCGCCCACTCCGGCGCATCTGCGACGGAGCGAAGCGGCAGCCCTCTGTTTCTGGCCCCGCGATTGCTCGCGGCACCGCGCGCCTTGGTGATGTTGGACGCGACGATGCGGTGAGGCACAGACACCTGAACAACCTGCTGCACGTGGCTCGCTTTGTCCAAGTTTGCCCGCAGACTGTTTGTATCGAGCGTGACCTTGGTTACCTGCGCGCGGAGGCAGACGAGAAGTGTGTGCCCGGCGGCAGCAACAGTGGCATGCTCCCGTGTCTGTGTGGGATCGGACATCCCAAGAGCGATGCCGGGGTGTAGCGTGGGGTGAAGGCTGCGAGCGGGGAGCGGGGGTGCACACCACGAACTGCAAGTGTGTGATAGTGCCCGGATCGCCGTCCCAGCTGCCATCACTCGAGGCCCACCGGCGTGGCGTGGAGTAGAGTGACTCCAACAATACGTCGACCCGGCCCTTGAGCGCCGCGTCACAACTCAGCGAGCTCGCCTTTTTCTGGCCATTGTGGTCCCCTTCCTGGTTGAAGTGGCCGCGCGCGAGAAAGCGCAGGACCGGCGAGGACGCGTTCTCGCTCGCGGCAAGTAAACGCGTCTCGCGCAGCAACTCTAGGCTCGTCGGCTTCCACGGCTTGCCCTCCTTCCAGCTCTTCAGGACGCGGCGAGAGTTGACGCAGAACGCGGGGAACCCCGACACCTGCACCGCGGGGACCGAGGCGCGCGCCATAATCAGACTCTCTGAGCGTGGCGTGGCGAGCGGCCTAAGCTTCCCAGCAAACAGGCTCACCGGGTAGGCGTCCACAGAAGCGTACCAGCGAACTGTCCCCAGAAGGATGGGGAGCAACGCGACCAAGAGGTGCATCGCGCGGTCAATCAAGGGCGGGCCTGCGGGGCCGCGGCTCTCCTTGTGCGGCTTTGGCGCAGCGGTCTCGTCGCGGTCCACGAGCGGAAGCTCGTCGTCGGCCGCGTTCGCCTCGGCAACTCCAGTTTTCGCCGCAACCGCCTCCGAGCGGCCTCGACCGCGCAGCCGCGAGTACGCCAGCACGAGCCAAGGCGCTGCCCACACGACGTAAAGATCCTGACACACGGTCGCGGGGTATCTAAGTGTCAGAGCCATCGCGCAACATGCTTCGAGGGGTCGCTGCGCGCGTGTGTGTGGGCGTTGCACGTGGCGGTGCCTGGAAGTCGTCAAAGTATATGCGATTCATCCAGATGTTCCCCTGGTGAAATAGGAAGGCGACGCAGGCGATGAGCGCGCGTGGCTTGTCGCCGGGCGCGAGGACGGCGAGCCACATCCCCACCTCCCAAGCCACTGCGCTGAACGCGGCGAGCTGGAGGAGGGCTCGGGGCAGCAAGTCAAATCGCGCAGCCGGCATGAGATAACGGCTCCCCAACAGGCAATGGGCGTGAATGGAGGGTGGCTGCGCCCACGCACAAAATTGCCACAACCACTCGGCGACGAGGCCCACGGTCTCAGTGCACAGCGGCCGCCACACCGCTGCACCCGGGTGGAGGCAGCTCTCGCCCGAGCACTTGTTCATCAATTCGTGGTGCATCAGCCACTTCAAGTGGTCAGACGTCCAGAAGACGCTGGTGAATGCAAACCAGCCAACGTCTGCATCTTCGTCCTCGTAAGCTCGGTAGCAATTGGTCAGCTTGTACAAGCCGGCAGTGGCGTATGCGCTGGCGAGCACGAGGAGCAAAGAGATGAACGGGAGCGTGTAATGGGAGGACGGCCGCGGAGCGGGGTCGGCGGTGTCAGTGGCGACGCCTCTCCCGCAGAGACGCGGCAGCAAGCCGTGGAGTCGCCACTGGTACTGATCGGAGAGCGAGAGACGGCACAGACTGAGCGCGTCCCCAGAGGGCGCGAGAGCGAAGAGGAGCAGCACGGGAGGGATTATGTGGCCGCTGTGGTGGCGGTCTGACATGTGTGAGCGCTTGAGCAGCTGGCATCTCATCTCGAGCACCGCGAGGCCGAGCAAGGCCGGCCGCGCGCACACACCAAGCAGAGCGAGCACCGCGAAGACCTTGATGGCGAGCGGCTCAAACCAAGCTACTGACATCCATTCGCGATTCCAGACTGCCAGGCCGGGCATCCAGTCGCGATGTCCTTCGGGCAGCAGGCCGGTTACGACGGTGAAGCTGCCCGCGGGACCCGGTTCGGTCAAGTGCAGCTGGTGTCCCCGTAGGTGATAGTCTTGCAAGAACAGCAGTACAAGAATGACCCGCGCCAACGCGAGGTCAAGAGCGGTTCTCCCGCTCGGCTCGGCCCGCGCAAGCAGCTTTGGCCCGAGGAGCACGGCCGAGGTGACTAACAGCCAGAGGATGGCAAAAAAGGTCTGGTGTGCAAACCGCACACTACTCAGAGAAGGCCCGCCGCCGTCGCTGTCGTCGTCGTCGTCGTCGTCGTCGTCGTCGTCGCCGCCGCCGCCGCCGCCGCCATGCTCGAGGAGATGCACAGCTTGCACTGCCACGGCGAGTGCGGCGAGGGATGAAATTGCAATTACTTGGACGTAGCGGAGCCACGCGTATAGGAGCATGCTGAATCGGAAGAGAGGACCGAGCGGCGCGGGTCGAGAACCCCCTTTTTGACTAACGTGCAACAACCAGGCGCCGTCGCTTTTCTGTGGAAAAATATTCGCGACGATCTTCGTGCAAACTTTTTCTTTTTGAGCTGACACTCTTCGAGTTAACATTCGAGGGAACATTTGGGTAAAAGCTGGACGGTCGCGAATGGAGCTGCGCCCGGGGCGGCGGGGTCAATTTGTCCAACAATTCGATTACGATCAATATCAATAATTGGAAGTGGCATGCGACAGATGGCGAGGGCGAGGCCTTGCTCGACTCCTACGAGATTGGAAGGGACGGGTCTGCGACCCACCCAAGCCCGAATGGTTGACAATGCTCGACAAGCTCGGAGTACAGTTCGAGTGGATCAAGGCAGGTAGCAGCCTACCTACGAGTCCAAATACCACCGCAAGGCCGCGGCGGCTATCCATTAAAATTTTTAGTTTCCGTTGACCAGCTGGTCAACTGTAGCTTGTAAAGCGGTGAGCTGGGTCTGCATCGTCGCAATGGTACTGAGCGTAGTGGTATCGGCGGCGGCGAAAGCGTCCGAAATCTCCTTGAGAGTGTCGAGGTCGACGGCGGCCGAGGCGAGGATGGCATCAATACGCCCCTTCTCCACATTGACCTCCCGACAAGGAAGTCTTTTCCGACGACGAAGAAGAGCTGACCGGTGAGGTAAAGTCCCTCTCCGACAAGCTGCGCGACATCACCGATTCTTTTTACGTCACCCCCGAAGACTACGAGTCAAACGACCTCGAGAGAGAGACAAGCTTCATTCAAGACGCGTTTGTTGTCTTTGCGGACCGCATTCTTGGGAAGGGCCATGACATCGACCTCGTTGCAGAAGACCGTTCCATGGGAGAAGAA